TAGGCCGTTCGCAATGCAGTGTTTTTTTATATGGGCTGTGTTTTTTAAAAACAAAAACGCACCCTTCTCAATGCCGAGTTGTAGTTTCATTTTTCGAGCACTTTTTTGCATCAGATTTGCAACTGCTCGACAACTCTGTTTTATTTCTGTGCGGGTTTGAACCACGAAACGAGCTGTGTTTCAAATTTCTGTGGTTGTATATGTGTGCGCTTCTTACTGTTGACAGATGATAGGTCAATGCCATGGAGAACAGGTTCTGCAATGTGAATTTGTCACCTCTTTCTTTCTCCCGCTACTCTCATGTAACGTACAGTTTGACGCAAACTCATCGTTGCAAAAGAACGGCGAAAAAATGAAAGAGGCAACAGATTTTTATCGCCGGACCTGTTATCCATGATATTGATGGTAGGCGAACAGCCGAAAACGTTTTCATTTCATTTCATTCCATTTCATTAAAGTGAATTGGTCTTAAAGGTTTGTCGGTAAGTAGCATTTTATTTATTGCTGTAACAAACATCGCTTGTTATTCTAATTGTAGATTATTTGATCGACAACTCTACCCCCTAATCCTCGATTCCTAGAAACCGCTCTGGTTCACGATCCCGGCTTTAGTTAATTAGGGGCTTGGAAAATCCATTGGCAACTGGATTTTTGGAGTTAATATATTTTCCATCACCGTCCCATTGTCGATTGCTTCATGGACAATGCACAAAATAGTATTGTATGCCCAAGTGCTTGGTCCTCGGGTGGTATAAGAACAATTCTTGGCAATGCAAATAGTAGTTGGATTGTCACACAAGATCTGGATAAAATTCTCACCGAATATTTACTTCAACTAATTCCTCCACCATAGTGCCTACTGGATCGTCCTGGACAGCGCCATGTACTCCGCCTCGCAGGATGATATTGCCTGTGCAATGTACTGCATACATTCGACAGCTAAGCAAGGGAACATTGTTTTTGGAAGAAGCAGTCCACATTATGTGATGACATCGATTTGTCCAACCGCTCACTAGTTTCAAATGGAGTAACCGCCTCGAGATCAAATTTCAAATTTGGTTGTGGAGTAATCTCTTCTGAAAGATGACATTTTTAAAAATCTCGAAAATCCAGGGTTGTAGCCCAGAACGATCTAGGTACTTTAGAGCAAAATAAAAAAAAGGCGTTTGTTCAGTATGCCAAAATAAGCATTTTGGCCAAGTTTGGCTCAAATCGATGACATCCACCACAACTTTTTTTAAATTCTGTACCTACTTGAGCTAATGACCCATATACATAATATTATTTCTCGACTACTTTTTCGAAGGGACGTATAAGCTTTTGTAAACAATGCATTTGATAGTCGATTTGGCGTAACTGGTAGCTCGCTCACGCATTCTAGCATTACCATCAGATAGGGGAAATTTTCTCCTACCTGATAGTGGTATTAGTATGCGTGGGTGAGCTACCAGTTACGCTAAATCGACGATCAAATTCATTGTTTACAAAAGCTGATACGTCCCTTCGAAAAAGTAATCGAGATTTACTTCTTTCACATCTTATAGGCTTCTCCCTTTTTGATTGGCGATGTATTAGGGGAATTGAGAGGGTTTTGTATTTGGTAATACATTAATTCAACTCACCTTTATACGCAAAGCTCGTGTTTAATTCACCGACGGAAACAATTCAGACAAACTTTGTACACGCACACATATATAGACAGGAATGCCAAACATCTTTTAAAACTGCGCGTTGCGTTGACCATGTTGCAGTTTCATTTTTGACAGTTTCAAATTTTAGAACTGTCGAGTAGTTTGCAATAATTTTTCAAACTCAGCATTGCGAAAGGCCTTAGATAATCGATTGTTCCAATTTTGACATGTCGTCTCGATAGATTTATAAATTCAGCCACGATTGTTTTCGTATATTCATTAAACATTCCTTGAAATATTTCAATTTTGAATTTCCCCAGACGGAAAAATGCAACTCCTGCTGACTCTGCGATGTTTTTCATTTTCATTTCACAGCGTGGTAAAAATTGAAGTGTATGTCATCATTGTCCTAAAACGTTTGCATTTCCAACTGATGTGCGATGCAATATTTTCGTCAAATCCTTAAGTGCCACCGTTCTGACTTACCACATGCGACCGTCATTCAAACCAGGTACCCTAGAAAACGTGCTGAAATCTGGTTAAGCGACCTCAAGCACCCCTCGTTCTCGTAAGACGGAAACGGAAATCCTACTTTTCACTGCATTTGTTCACCGAACGTGCTTCCTTTCGCCTTCGAGTGGTTCCCTCATTAACTATCCACCCGGTTAGTCGTGGCGCACGTTGCCACGTTTGCTGGTGCTGCTGCTCATGTACCTGCGTCCTTATCGCTCTCTTGGATGAAGCACTCCCGGTCTGAGTGTGTGCCTCTATTGTGTTAATATTTTCCCACATGCACACATGAGGCACACTTTAAACTATTAATTAAAGTTTCAAACACACTTAGTGGGCTGAAGCACATCAGAGCGACCAACTCGAGAGCTGTCGACTTCAACGGCACCAAGATGGTGCTCACAATCGATTATTCCTTTCACGAAATAATAGCTTTGTGTGTAAACGGCTCAAAAGGAGGTCCACGTCCGGTGGGGGTGGTGGGTGGTTGTGAAACGACAGAAGCCCAACCCGGATCAGGTGTACGGTTAGAAAATTTTATGTGAAAGTTGACACATTAAGCTCGGGCGTCCTGAGCTTGCATCACAACCAGTAGCAGTAAATATAAATGACTGCAATTTAAAAACCGACAGCCTCACGAGGTTCATTATTGCACACAGAAACGACAACAACACAACCAGCCTGCAGAGCCCGCAAGGATGAGGACAATTTTGCTTCATTCTAGGGCATATACCTGATGCATGACTATGACGACGACGACGACGACGACGATGATGATGATGATGACGATGCTCCGGCATCAAGCGAGCTTGAAAATGGTTTAAACGTACCTTTGGGTGTAATGAAGTGGTGTTTCTATATGGCTGGCAGCTTGGATCTTGCCGTTGTTGTGGCGAGACGACGATAATGATGATGATTATGCCATAGATGTTAAGTCGTCTATCGAGATGAGAAACCCATTTATGTCTTTGATACTGATGGCAAATCGTTTATAGCAGATTACTTAATCTATACGTCCGACAGAACCAAAAGAGCAAAGTTCAAACGGTCCGGATGTGGAGGACAATTTTCATAATGCATGGTAGCCACGAATTCAATTAAATGAACCGTCCTGAAATTGAAAATTCCCATCAAATGACTAAATTATAGCATTTTCGAACGACGAGCCAGGATTTCAAACCACACACATGTCTAGCCGGTTCCAGAGCAGTCCAGAGAAGTCTGCAGTGGTGCAACAAAGCAGTCAAGTTGTCAGTGCAATTCCATAAACATTTTTCCTGTCACCTCGTACCAACTATCGCGAATGCATTCACTCACAGGAGGATACATCCAGACACAGACGGACATCCCGCCGGGCAGGCCACAGCAGTGTGCCATAACAATCGATCCGGAGGTGAAACGTTCAATAGCAATATCACCTCGGTCCATTGTCCTGCCTGCCTGCCTGATTCCACGGAGTCGTATACACATGTGTACATTCCACATCGCTCGAACGCCGCCGGGAGAGTCTCCGCGTGTGTCTGCGAGTCTCTTTGTGTTTGCTCATCCTGCCCATGTCGGAAGTTGAACTACAGGCCATCAGAGGCCAATCCTGCCACACGGTACAGCAAGGAAACCTTTACATTCCGCCTGTTAATAATACATAATAAACACATTATTATTAAATAATTGAGTTTTCGATCGGAGAGTGTGTTTGTGCGGACGCGATATTCATGCCGCTTCGCGCCTCGTCCATTGGCATCGTTGAAGCGTCACGTCAGAAGCCTTCGTTTCGTTTGGTCGCTCCTTGTCCCAAAGGGCCTTTGGTGTTCGGTCATGCAGTATTCAGCATGTTTCATATACGCTTTCCATGGCTTGCGGTTCCTGGCAGAGCCTAGCAAATCAATATGCAAGACCTGTGGCCACTGGTTTACACCGTTCGTTGTATGGCAGTTCCTAGGGGGACTAGGCAAATTCATCATTGATCTCGCACTTTAACAACATTTTTAACGTTGTACCATCATTTCGCTCAACACTACACTACACTGCATTTTCTCAAGATTCGATTATAACCCAATAATCAGAAAACGTGCCCAAATTTTGCAAAACGGTCACGTAGCCCGCGCACCGACATGTAACTGTCAACTGTCTACTCGTTCGACGCTTCCTTTCGTTGGCATCAAACCCACAAAGCAACTTCCTGCAAGCTATACCGACCGTTACACGTACATGGTTCTCTGTTCAACCGGAAAATCGCTGTCGGTGCTGATCCGCAATAATAACATACATACGCCACGCACTTTGTTCAATCGAAGGCAACAAAGAGCGATTCGATTGACCGGGAAATCTGCCTTGATTGTGCCACTGACTGGTTTTCTCCGGTTTTGGTACCTTTGAACCGTGCAGAGTAGCCCCGTATGTTTGTTTGCTAATACCACACACACTGTTGGTCCTGCTGCCAGGTGCAGTGTGAGGCAACAATCGAAATGAGTAAATTCAATAACAACCGGAGAAATGATTGTTTTCGTGCGAAAATCCCACAATCTCCAGCGTCCTGTTGGATTGTGGCACTCTGCGGGATGCACCGAGTTATCCGATCAAAGGGAAAGTTTTAATTAAAAGAAATATTTGCTCTTGCACATTCCAATTTCGAATGTGTGTATGGTGATCTGGAAAGGCTGCAATTGGGAGGGCGAATATTCGATTAACACGTTCCGACCATGCTGACAAAATGGCCAAATATGTTTTCTTGTTAAACTTGAACCTTTAAACGGCAGGCAAAAAACAGGAAAACCATATGTATTTAGACTGCAGCAAGAGTCCCACATTCGATGATACTAATTTCATGATCTTTGCTTGTTTGTTCTTTCTCCATTTTAGATGCACCACCCAATCCAGATGAAACCTGCCGATAGTGAAAATAGAAACGGTAAGTGGTTGTCCTATTTTCGTCTGTGTAACCCTTTTAAGTGAACTGAAAACAAATATGGTCATTCTTGACCTGTATGGGTTTTGGAGTTAAATTAAGATGACGTTATGAAACCGGACTGTGGCAACAAGGTCTAATGGGGTTGTTTAATTTCGAAAAACACCGTTTTTTGTACATCATCAGAAAGAGTCATGCTAAATTGAGGATAAATTAACCCCCCTCCTCCCTTTTGTGACGTTTTGACGGAGGACTACGTCTGTGATGACTATATGGTGGTACACTTTGTGAAAACCGAAAATGGAACATGTAACAAAATTATGAAAGATTTTGAACGTTAATAACTCAGCTGCCCCTGGACCAATTTCAAAAAATTTTTATCACCAATCGAATAGAAATATTTCTACGCATCTTTCGAATTAAAGACTTTGTCATTTTTCAAAATGTCACTATTGAAAATTGCACGAATGTGCAACTGTTGCTATGATAATTAACCTACACACTTAATCTAACTCGGTAAAATTTGCAACAGCCGATTACCTCGGCATTTACTTTTGCTGATATCTCTGCAAAATATCTGTTTGTTAGCTGATATCTCAGCATAATGTTATTTGTTAGCTGACTCTCGGCAATTGTTTTACTGAATCTCAGCAAAATAAATTGCAGAATTACTCGGCTGTTGGAATCTGGGCGAAATTAAAAAAAAAAAGCGATTTCCCAACACAGATTTCAAAGTTCAATTCCATCCTGTCTCACCAAACGTTTTTTTTTTTTTTTTTTTTTAACTCTTTATTTGTTCCAAATTCAAAATAAATTACATTTCATTTTAACCTAGGTGCTCCAGTTACTGCAGTAACGTACCAGCCTTAATTGTTATGATATATATCTAAGTGTTTTTACATTGTTCATGTCTTGGCAATTCAGTATTTTAAACAGGTTTTTTAACCTGCATGTCAGTATAACAATTGATATCTTAAAACTAAAAACTAAAACTAAATCTTATCTAAGTATAAAGGGAATTAATCGTTGCAATTGAGGATTGCAACGATTTTTGCCTGAAATTATTAATTATTTTGTTGGACATATGTTCTAAAGTCTCAACATTCGAAATTCTACGTACTTCGGTAGTACTGTACCAGGGAGGCAACTTCAAAATCATTTTCAGAATTTTGTTCTGAATCCTTTGAAGTGCTTTTTTCCTGGTAGTGCAGCAACTAGACCATATTGGCACAGCGTAAAGCATGGCCGGTCTAAAAACTTGTTTAAATATTAGAAGTTTATTCGTCAGGCAAAGTTTGGATTTCCTGTTTATAAGAGGATACAAACATTTTATATATTTGTTACATTTGGCTTGAATGCCCTCAATGTGATCTTTAAAAGTTAATTTTTGGTCAAGTATTAATCCAAGATATTTCACTTGGTTTGACCAGGAAATTGGAACTCCGTTCATAGTGACTATGTGACTACTACTAGGTTTCAAAAACGAAGCTCTAGGCTTATGTGGAAATATTATAAGTTGAGTTTTGGAAGCGTTGGGAGAAATCTTCCATTTTTGTAAATAAGAAGAGAAAATATCTAAACTTTTCTGCAGTCTGCTGCAAATAACACGAAGACTTCTTCCTTTAGCGGAAATACCTGTGTCATCAGCGAACAAAGATTTGTGGCAACCCTGAGGCAAATCAGGGAGGTCCGAAGTGAAAATGTTATACAATATAGGCCCAAGAATGCTACCCTGAGGAACTCCTGCTCTAACAGGTAGTCGATTAGATTTGGAATTTTGATAATTTACCTGCAGAGTTCTGTCAGTTAAATAATTTTGAACTAATTTCATAATGTAAAGTGGAAAATTAAACTTTTTCAATTTAGCAATCAAACCTTCATGCCAAACACTGTCGAATGCTTTTTCTATGTCTGGAAGAGCAACTCCAGTTGAGTGGCCTTCAGATTTGTTTGAACGAATTAAATTGTTAACTCTTAAGAGTTGATGAGTAGTTGAATGCCCATGGCGAAATCCAAACTGCTCATCTGCAAAAATTGAGTTCGTATTGATGTGAAGCATCATTCTATTCAAAATTATCTTTTCAAAAAGTTTACTTATTGAAGAAAGCAAACTTATTGGACGGTAGCTAGAAGCTTCAGCTGGATTTTTATCCGGTTTCAAAATTGGAACAACTTTTGCATTTTTCCATTTATCAGGAAAGTATGCCAAATGGAAACATCTGTTAAATAATTTTACCAAGAAAGACAAGGTACTCTCTGGGAGTTTTTTGATGAGGATATAGAAAATTCCATCATCACCTGGAGCTTTCATATTTTGAAATTTTTTAGTTATAGACCTTACTTCGTCCAAATCAGTCCCCCAGGAATCATCAAAAATATTTTCCCGAGAGAAAATATTCAGAAAATCCCGAGCAACCTTTCTCAATAGGACTAGTAAGACCCAAACTGAAATTATGGGAACTCTCGAATTGCTTAGCAAGTTTCTGAGCTTTTTCCAAATTTGTGATCAAAATTTTACCACCTTCTTTAAGCGCTGGAATAGGCTTTTGAGGTTTTTTCAAAATTTTTGTGAGTTTCCAAAAGGGTTTGGAACTCGGGTCTAATTTAGAAATATTATTTTCAAAAGTTTTGATCCTCAGGGCAGAGAATCGCTTTTTAATTTGTTTTTGCAAATCCCGCCAGATAACTTTCATGGCAGGATCGCGTGTTCTTTGATATTGTCTCCTACGGACATTTTTAAGACGGATCAAGAGCTGAAGATCATCGTCTATTATAATTGAATCGAATTTAACCTCGCATTTTGGTACTGAGGCAGCTCTTGCTTCAACTATAGAAGTAGTCAGAGATTCAAGAGCATAATTAATTTCATCTTTGGTTTGCAAAGGAATGTTTGGATCGAAGTTATATTCCATAAATGTTCGATACTGCTCCCAATCAGCTCTATGGTAATTGAAAGTAGAGCTGTTGTGATTACAAATTATTTCTTGGGATATTTCAAAAGTTACTGGAAGGTGATCAGAACCGAAGTCAGCATGGGTAACCAATTGGCTACAAAGTTGACATGAATCAGTTAAGACCAAATCAATAGTGGAGGGATTTCTTGCAGAAGAAAAGCATGTTGGGCTGTTTGGATATTGAATAGTGTAATAACCTGCAGAACAATCATCAAACAGAATATTACCATTGGAATTGCTTTGAGCATTATTCCATGAGCGGTGTTTTGCATTAAAATCACCAATAATGAAGAATTTAGACCTATGACGGGTAAGTTTCTGGAGGTCACCCTTGAGAAAATTCTTTTGCTGGCCTACGCATTGGAATGGCAAATAGGCAGCTATAAACGTAAGTTGTCCAAATTTTGTTTCAACAGAAACTCCCAAAGTTTCAAAAACTTTGGTTTCAAATGAAGAAAGAATTTTATGTTTGATTCGTCTATGAATAATGATGGCAACGCCACCACAGGGTCCATCAAGACGATCATTTCTATAAATCAAGTAATTTGCGTCCTTCTTAACCTTATGGGCAGGTTTAAGGAACGTTTCAGTTATAACGGCAATATGCACGTTATGAACTCTCAAAAAGTTAAATAGCTCGTCTTCATTATCTTTAAGAGATCGAGCATTCCAATTTACAATATTTAATGCTTTAAAATCCATTACTGAATTTTAAAGTCATGACAATATTATTTGCAAATTTTACTCCAGTTTGAATAGCATCAAACATGGAGTTAGATTTAAGCATATCAGAAATCATATCAATTAATGAATTCTGTAAAAAATCCATTTTGGGGGCAGTAATGCTTCCTAAGTCAAAATTGTCAAAATTTCCGTTAGAACGGTGGTTAGTATTTTGATTTCTACCCGTTGCAATAGCAGCATAGGTAGCTCCATTAACTCGCTGAACATTGTTAGCAGCGAGGGGAGTAGGTACAGATGAAACATTTGAAGCAGGGGAGATATTTGTACCTACGGGTACGAATGTAGAATTTGTTCCTCGCTGACCGTTGTTAACAGCAGAGGAATTTGTACCTGGTCGGAAACGTGGAGCGTTTCCTACCTGACGGTTAGAACGAGATTGTAGGATCGCTTTGCGAGTCTTACATTCCCAAAAATTGGATTTGTGGTTTTCACCACAATTTGAACATTTAAATTTCTTAGGATCTTCCTTCACAGGACAGTCGTCCTTTGCGTGAGAGGAATCACCACAATTCATGCATTTAGCTGGCATGTAGCAATTTTTAGTTCCGTGACCCCATCCCTGGCACTTACGGCACTGGGTGAGGTTTTGGAAATTTCCTCCAGTCTTCCTGAAGTGTTCCCACTTCACTCGGACATGGAGCATAAGGCTAGCTTTTTCTAAGGCCTTAAGGTTGTTTAGTTCACTAGATTTGAAGTGAACTAAATAAAAATCATTAGAAATCCCGTTGCGCGAATCGCCAGGACGGGATTTCATTTTCATTTTGATTACTTGGAGTGGCACAACTCCAAGTAATTTTGCCAGTTCATCTTTGATCTGATCCAGGGATTCACCACTGGGCAGTCCTTTCATGACAACCTTGAACACACGTTCAGTTTTGGTGTCGTAAGTAAAAAATTTGTGCTTCTTCTCAGTAAGATACTTGAGAAGACATTTAAATCCGTCCAAGGTTTCAGCCAATACACGGCATTCACCCCGACGTCCAATTTGTAGTGAAAACTTAACTTTCACGAAATTCAAAAGTTCCATGCGAAGAGCATGGAAATCGGTAGTGGTTATCACAATAGGGGGAATCTTTTCCTTCTTGGCATTAAGCCGGGAAAGTTTACTAGAATTTTTCTTGGATGATGGATCATTCTCATCATCCGTGAGCAAATCAAATTGATTACTCAAATTAATTTCATCAGAAGGGGGGTCAAGAGTTTGCCCCTTTCTTTTGCGTTTAGGCGCCATGGCGGCAGTAAATTTTTATCCAAATCGACTTCCAAGCAGATTACTATAAGAATCTGAAGAGGAATTTTCCAAAT